GGTCATCGAAAAAGCTTTGGATCAAGAATACGACATCTTGACCGATTACACGCTCCAGGCACATGATGTCGACGACGAGGACGAGGCAAATGGCAACGTAGGAGGAAAGGGCCGCCGAAAGGTCAAAGAAGTGGCCCAATTTTACGACGAGCGGTGGTCTAAGAAGCGCATGGTCAGCTCTATTGATTTTTCTCCCAAGTTCAACGAGCTCCTGCTCGCCTCGTATACCAAGAACCCAACCGCGCCCCACGACCCAGATGGCATCGTCCAGGTCTGGAACATGCACCTTCACGACAGGCCCGAGTTTGTCTTCCATGCCCAGTCGGACATTCTCACGGCCAAGTTCTCCCCCTTCCACCCCAACCTAATCATCGGTGGCGCTTACAGCGGTCAAGTCCTCCTCTGGGACACGCGAGCGCGGTCTGCCCCGGTGCAGAAAACCCCGCTTACGGGATCGGGGCACACGCATCCAGTTTATTGCATCGACATCGTCGGCACGCAAAACGCAAACAACATCATCAGTTGCTCGACCGACGGTGCCGTGTGCGGCTGGACCGTTGACATGCTCTCCCAGCCACAGGAAACCATGTCGCTCACAATGCCGCTGCCTTCCAAGTACGAGGACCTCAGCCCCACATGCATGGCGTTCCCACAGGCAGATCCTACCTTCTTCCTGGTGGGCTCCGAGGAGGGCACCATCTTTCCTTGTCATCGGTATGACCGGGCTGGCGCCAAGGCAGGCGTCGACGCCAGGGTCAGTTACAAGGGCCATGCGGCTCCCGTCATGTCTGTCGATTTCCACCCCTCGAGGGGACCTGTTGACTTGGGAGATTTGGTTCTGTCATCCAGCCTGGACTGGAGCGTCAAGCTGTGGAAGGTCAGAGCGCCGGCAGCGACGTCGGCTATTGCTCCGGGTCTTTTGGGTCTCCCCGGCGCCGAGTCGCAGGTTACACCGCTGCTGGACTTTGTGAGGGAGGATGTGGTGTACGATGCGGCGTGGTCGCCTGTCAAGCCTGGCGTCTTCAGCTTGGTGGATGGTGCCGGCTGGCTGGAGCTGTGGGACATCACCGTCGAGACGGAGGAACCGGTTGCTAGGATCTCGCCTAGCCCTAGGAAGGACGGACGGACGATGCTGAGCAAGAGTTTGAACAAGATCGCCTGGGAACCCTTGGAAGGAAAGAGGCTGGCGACTGGAGGCATCGATGGAACGGTCACCATGTTTGAAGTTGGACCGGATTTGGGCGGGAAGGAGAATCTCAAGAACGAGGAGTGGACGAGCGTAAAGAAGTTGGTGAACAGGATTGAGGCTGTTGGTGTTAATGGGGCGACCGCTTGACAGGTAAATAAAGAGGACGGTGCCGGCTGATGGGGAATGTCTATGTTTAAAGTATTTATGGTATGAGGCGTAAGGACCTTTTTTTGCCAGCTGATATTTTTTATACCCGTTATTGTTGTAGGTACGTATGTAATGAAATAGGGGTTTCATGATGTTTATTCCGAGGAGGTGGGGAGATCCTAACCCTGGTGCTGGTTGCAACATGGCCGATTACGTAAGGTAAGTTTTCATTTTGACTTTTTACCCACCAAACCCAATTTCTCAAACTTTTATAGAAACATTTCCTTGTTTTCCTTTTTTTTCGTGGTTCATTTTCTAACATCCTCATTCTTGGAGAATGGTTTCAACCAAAAAAACTGACTGCGCTATTACAGTGCAGAAATTTAATTACATGACAAATTGTAAGTTGAATTTTTCCTTTTTTTTTTTTCTAAATTTTTTTTTTCTGATTTTCGAACGCAAATGATGAATGATCTTCTCATGGATTCTGCAATTCTCAATAGTCTTTCTTTTCCTCTTCGGGAGAGTCTGGCCCTGTGTGGACAGTTTTCACATTACACTTTTTTAGCTGATTGCGCTCATAAATAAAGCTGTCATTTGAACTCAATACTTTGTTGGGGTTTTGGGACATTTAACTAACATTGATGATACAGGAAATCAAAACCCCCCCCCCCCCCCAGAAAAAACACAATAATATTAAAGAAATTAATCATGAATAAATATAAACCCGTTACCTATCATTTTGTCAATTCTTGACTCAGTCCCTGCCTGGTTGTTGCAATAACAAGTGAGATGAAGGTGGAATGTTGTCCAGGTTATCTCTCTCATTGACTACCTTGCCTGTATATTCTCCCTATCGCTATCCCCCTCCCGCCAATTCCGATTTTACGTGTCCTTGGGAATGTAATCAGGATATCTCTCCCCTTTGGCCTGAAACCTTGCCAGGATCTTGCCAATCTCCTCCATCTCGTCGTCCGACAAGTCGACATGCTTGGCGTTCTCGCGGACCCGGCCAACCGTGGTCGTCCCCGGGATGGGGATGATCACGGGCAGCTCCGGCGTCCGCTGAGACAGCGACCGCACCCAGCTGATGGCCAGCTGCGCGGGCGTGCACCCCTTTTGTTTCGCCAGGGCGTTGACGAGGCCGAACAGCTGGAGGTTGTGGTCAAAGTTCTCGGGGTAGTACCTCGGAACGTGGTGCAGGTGCTCGGGCACGTCCTCGACGCTCCTCAGCGCGCCGCCCAGGATGCCGCGGCCGATGGGGGAGTAGGCCACCAGGGGGATGCCGTGCTCGGCGCAGGCGGCCATGACGCCGTTGCCGAAGGGGTCCGTGACGAACAGCGACAGCTCGTTCTCGACGAATGCGACCTTTGTCAGCTTGGCCGCCTCGTGGATGGTCGAGGCCCGGACCTCGGACAGCGAGATGCCGCCCAGCTCCCCGCGGTCGACGTACTCCTGCAGCGCGGCAAAGGTCTCGGCCAGCGGCACCTTTGGGTCGCGGCGGCCGCACTCGAACACGTCGAGCTTCTTGAGGCCCCCGAGGTGGGAGAGGATGTTGTCCATGGACCGGCGCACCCCGGCGGCCGAGGCGTCGATCCCCACCGAGTCCGGGAAGAAGCACCCCTTGACGGAGAGCACGACGCGGGAGGCGTCTTCGGGGTACTTTGTGAAGTAGGCCGCGAGGAGGTGGAGCGAGTTGTACTGGGGGGTGCCGTAGAATTCTCCCGCGTTCCAAAAGTTCATTCCCTCCTCGAGCGCGGCGCGGAGGGTGGATATTGCTTGGGATAGGGGTGGCGGGGAAGGGCGCCATGTGAAGCCTGGAGGGGGTTGTTAGGATTGGCAGATATGAAAAGGGGGGGCCCGGGGGAAACGGGGGGAGAGGGGGGGAGAAGATGTACCCATGAGGCCGAAGCCGGTTGGACCTACTTCAAGGTCGAGAATCTTTGGCATTGTTGATGTGATTGGCGAAGGGGGTTTATGGATGATGTTTATAGACTGTGTGTAAACTAAGTGTTGCTTCCTCGTGTATGAGCCTTTCCTTCAAGTGACTTGATTTGTGAAGGGTTTCGTTGGTTAAAAGATAAATTATATATTCTACAAGCTGTAGCCGGATAGTGTACCATGTATATTGCTTATAAGTTCATAAGCCGTTGGAAAGCTGCTAAGAGCTGGTGATGCTGGTTGCTGCTCAAAAGAAAGGGGGGGGGGGGGTCGGAGGGTTCCTTTATATGCAAAAACTCAACTGGTTATCTACATTACTGTGGCTTTCGATAGTCTGAGAGGCTTAATGCGAGGGACCATCACAGTCACGGTAACACTTCCCCCGGATCTAAAATGAACGCGCGCGCGAGAGAGAGAGAGAGAGAGAGAGAGAGAGATTCAGTGTAAAACAAGCTACAGTGTCCTTCTGGTGGCATGCCTTTCCTTTTCGAAGAAAAAAAAAAAAAAAAAAGAGTATCGATTGCGTAGTCCCCCTTCCCGTTCCACGTTTCACTCGCGCCTTCGTCCAAGTCAACTTCCCGTCCGATGAAGCGGCCGGATTTCAAACATCAGAGACATTGTCTCACGGGGAACGGAAGCGTGCTACATGGCAATAACAGCTCGGGCCCTCGCTCGCTCGCCCGCTCGCCTTTGTTTTATGCCCGTTAACCCCGATGCTGGTATTCTCGATGCAGTCGGTCCCTGAGTTCTTGTTGAGGGTTCCTAAAATATATCACATATACCAAGATTTTTTTTATTCTCGGGACTGCTTCTTTGGTGAGACAGTGTTTTTTTTTTGGGGGGGGGGGGGGTGGTAGCCAAGAAACGCTCGCTGCGGGCAACAACATCACACACACAACCCCACAAGGGAAGTCGGCAGTTGGGAGGGGGAGGGGGGGGGGGGAGGTTCTGATGTCCTATCTTGCGTCACTTGGCTGAATTTCATGGGTCACGAACTGCCTGTTAGTCTTGTCATGTTGGTTGGGGAACATGTCGTTGCATTATTCTGTACTTTAACTAGCGGAAGAGCGAGGCTTGGTTTAATTAAAACAACATTTATGAATACAGAATTGTGTAAGCTAGAATACTCTCTCTCCCTTTCGACAAAATGATTAGAAATCTTTCTGAGGAGAAGGGGCAATTTTGCGGTTTAAGGCATCAAATGCAAAGAGAGGTCAAAAAGGCATTCCACTATTTTTCAAGTGCCGCATCCTTTCCGTCCGGGAGACAGGGGGACGCAACCAAAGATCAATCACCACTCACCCTGGGGAGTCCCGTGCATGGCCATGGGGTATCACAGCATGCATACATATATACATTCTATCCGAACAGTTGTATCCAAGCGAGCGAGCGAGCGAGTGAGACGAACTTTCCCGATTTTGATCCCCAAACTGAGTGTCATGAGGGGTAAAACCGCTTCCTTTTGCAAATTCTAATAATCGAAGCAACATCGATACTTTTATCTATTTAGGTGTCTATCTACCTCATCTGTGCCAGGCAAAAAAAAAAAAAAAAAAAAAAAAAGATCAATATCATCTACTAATAACTCCCTCCCTTCTTTTCTACTCTAGTCTTACAAGGTCACTAACTCCCAATAATTTCAAAATGAAAATCATCAACCATTCAAGATGTTCATGTCTTAAAACATCCCAAACCCCCCCCCCCCCCCCCAAAAAAAAATGAATGCGGTTTGTGTGGATCGAACACACGACCTTCAGATTAACCTTTTGTGGAGGTATTTGGATTGAAGTTTATTTTCTTCAGTCTGACGCTCTCCCAACTGAGCTAAACCCGCGTGATTTCTTGTTGCTGAGTGTCAAGAAAAATTATTTATAACCCAATATTTCATTCCACCGAGGCATTGGTAGGGTAATTTGCACAAGATATGATTGCACCTTGAAAAAGAAAATGGAAAAAAGACACACCGAATGCGGAAAGAACCCCCCAAAAAAAGGCTTTTATAATATTAACTTTACCAAAAACATTTCCCAAAAAATAAAAAAATTAAAAAAAATTGCGAAGGGGTATTCTTTTTTTTTTTTTTTTTTTTTTTTTTTTGGGCGTTCTGCACCTTTGCACCTCTTCATTTCCATATTCAGATAATATCTAGTAGAAGCTACTTCGCTGAGAGTTAATGAAGATAAAACTAGTATATATTAAATTGGTGTGTGTATGTTGGGGGGGGGGGGGTATGTTCTTCTTTCCGTGAGTCAAGGGAGGTGCTCGGTGTGTTTACTGTCTGCTGTTGTTGAGTGTTGACTTGTTGACTGTTGACTGTTTGCTGTTTGTTTGTTTTTAAAAAGTTTTCACTGCATGTAGCAGAGATTGGGCTCAAAACATGTAGGTTAGGTAGGTAGGAACATATTCAACGATGAAATCACGAATAATGTATTTACTGGGACGCAAAGGGAATGGGCGGCACCGATAGAAAGAAAAGAGAAAGAAAAAAAAAAAAAAGAGGAAAAAGGGGAAGGAAAAAGGTGAGAAAAAAGTAAACTTGATAAAGATGTATTGTTTAACTTGAATAGAAATAACAATAAATAACTAGAGGGGTTCTCTCAGGAATCAAATCAGAAACCCAAAAAATATATCAGAATGACAAAAAAAAAGAAAAAAGATAAGCGCAAATTGATTGATTTTAGAGTTCAATCAGAAGAATTGCAGCCCTGCAAGAACCAGCTATTTCGCTAGATAGTAGCTACAGAAAACATGGAGATAGTGTATTTTACGAGCTGCTTCTGTAAAGGGGTAACAAACTGTTAATGTTCGGCCTATTTGTCGTTCGTATTTGCTGCCATCTGCCTCTGGCGAAGGTGACAAAGACTAAAAGTGATACTTAGTTGTGCCGAAGCAAAGTAAAACCCACTGCCATAAGGTGCATGACAAAACAATTGTAGATGTCTTGTCTTTCGGCATCAACTAGAGAGCAGAAAGCCACAAGCCAGAGATGAGAGTATATCCACTGCATACCATCAACTCGAAATCGGAGCAATAGGGAACAGAAAGCTACAAGCTAGAGATGAAACTATATTCACCGCATACGACCGACTCAAAGTCGGGGCAGGATATCTCGAAATACACTCATGAGCAAGAAAATACCCAATGTATGTACAGTACAGTACAACTTCAAAATACAGCGACAGACTATACAAAAACATGACAAGAAATAACGACCTCCGCTTCAAAAGGATGAACAATCCCACGTAATGAGCAAAAGCAAGAAAACGCTATTTACTTATCAAACTGCAAGGAAAAAATGAAGCTGGTCAGAGGTTGAAACCCCAAGAGAAAAAAACCACCCTACAACTCCATACCGATGAACAAGAAACAAAATGCCCAACACCAGCGGCCTGCTTCCGCCCCGTTTAAACCCTTCTATCATCCCCATCCAAATTCGACAGAGGAAGATATCCTTCTTCCTTCTTTCTCCCACCGAACAAATCACTAAACACCGCTCCAATGGTTTCAGCCATGCTGCTGAGCCATCCCTGCTCCTTGCCCACCATTGCGCCGTGCGAATCATACAAGGCCTTATCCATCCACGATGGTCGTTTCCAAAAATTCAAAAACAAGCTGCTCACCACTACGCTTACGCTGCTGGCCGCCATGGCCGCACCAGCAGTCATGGGATGCAGGTGATATCCGAAGGGCAAAAAGATGCCCATGGCGAACGGCAACCCGAAAACGTTGTACATGCACGCCCACAACAGATTCATCTTGATGCGCCTGAAGATCGTGCGAGCGAGATGCAAAGCGGCGGGAATATCCATCAGGTCGTTGGGACGCATAAGGACCAAATCGGCAGCCTCCATTGCTACGTCCGTTCCCGACGCCATGGCGATGCCCACATCAGCGGTAGCAAGGGCGGGGGAGTCGTTGATACCGTCACCGACCATGGCTACGATTGCGCCTGATTCCTGGAGTTGTCGAATGATGGCTTGCTTCTGATCCGGCGAGACGCCGGCATAGACATCGTCCGCATCGATGCCGACGGCAGAAGCTACAGCGAGGGCAGTGCTTCGTTGATCGCCCGTCACCATCGCGGTCTTGACCTTCATCTTGTGGAGGACGGCGATGACAGCTGCCGCACCCTCCTTGATGGTGTCTGAAAGGCAGAGGTGGCCTGTGTACTCGCCATCGATGGCGATGAAGATATTCGTTGTTCCGGCACTGGGCTTGGCGCCCGTGCGAGATGATGCCGATGAGGATGCGGCGGCGTTGATCTTTTCCGAGTTCTCGACAGCAGATTCTGGAACGTCGACCTTGTTCTCGCGAAGGAAATAGACGTTGCCGATGAGAACTTTGTACCGATACCTCTCCCCTGGAGTGGCTGGCTCGACGTACGCGGTGATACCCTTACCAACAGCTGCAGTAAAATCGCCGATGCTACCCTCAATGACTCCATCGGGGCCGAGGCCGATCTCTGTCCTGGCGGCGCCGATAACAGCCTTGCCAACAGGATGCTCACTGCCCATCTCGGCCAGGCCAACGATGGTCCACCATAGCCGTCGGCGGAAGTCGGTGTTCTCCCACGCGGACACAATGTTGGCCTTGGCCACACTCATCTTTCCGTGAGTGATGGTGCCGGTCTTGTCGAGAACTATTTGGGTGACTTTGTTTGTCCTCTCGAGGGCCGCGCCGCCCTTGACGAGGATACCGTTTGTCGCGCCGATGCCAGTTCCGACCATAACAGCCGTGGGCGTGGCGAGGCCAAGTGCGCAGGGGCAAGCAAACACAATAACCGAGATGCAGAGCTGAACACACACCATGAGTCTGCCGCCGCTGGCCTCCTCGAGAAAAATCTTGGGAGGGTTGGGCAGGACGTGACTGAGGATCATCCAGACGAGGAAGGTGCCTAGACCCAGCAACAAAATGGCCGGAACAAAGTATCCAGCAAGCGTATCTGCGATGCGCTGAATCTCTGCACGGTTGGTCTGGGCGTTTTGCACAAGCTTGACGATCTGGCTAAGCTGGCTATCGCGGCCGGCTCTGGTAACGCGGAAATCCACTCGACCGTGGCCGTTGACGGTGCCGCCAATCAAGTTGGCTCCCTTGAGCTTTTGAACCGGCATCGCCTCTCCGGTAACCATGCTTTCGTCCACATAGGTCTCGCCTCGAATCATGACACCGTCTGCAGGGATCTTGTCGCCTGGGCGAAGAATGACAATGTCGCCCACCTGGATAAGCTCGGTGGGGATGATTTTCTCTTCCGCGGCATTGCCATCGACAGCTTGATTGGCATCTTGAGCATCAGCTTCACCATTCCACGCCTCGGCAGCCTTTTCGGCAGCGATTGGGTCGAGGTAGATGGTAGCCATGGATGGCGCGAGCGACATGAGTCGAGACAGTGCCTTGGATGTTTGACCCTTTGCACGATTCTCCAGGAAGCGACCCAATGTAACAAAGGTGATAAGCATGGTGCTTGTGTCGAAGATGGTGCCTGGCCTGGAATGGGGCGGGAACAGTATGGAGACGAGCATGGCTACCAGGCTGAAGAAGAACGCGCAAGAAGTGCCCAGCACCACCAGAACGTCCATCGTCGGGGCGCCGTGCTTGAGAGACTTGTACGCCGACTTGTAAAAGCGCTTGCCAATGCCGAATTGCACAGGAATTGTGAGAGCCAGGCAGACAATGTCGCCGAGGTACAGGCCAGGCGCTAGTCTGATAGAGCCGAAGTCTATGGGTTTCAAGAACATCGGAATGATCATGCTGATGAGGAACACCGGTATGGCAAATGATAATGAAAACTTTAATGCTGTCCTCCATTCATTGATTTCGCGAGTTTTCGCAAGAGACTCCAGTTGAGCATTATTGTCGTCGTTGTCCGCCACCAAGGCATTGAAGCCCGCGGCTTCGACAGCTTCGACGACAGCTCGCAGGCCTGTCACATTGGGCGAATGGATGACCGTCAGCCTGGAAGTGCTGAGCGCAACCTTTGCGCTACTAATCCCGGGAAGAGCTGCCAGCTTCTCTTCCAGTCGCGTGGCAGCGGCAGCGTCGAGATTGCCATAGAGCTTGAACTGGGCCGTGGAGGAGCCTCCCAACTGGTCTGCCGTTTCGAGTGTCGTCGAGAGAAGCTTGGCATCGAACCCCCTGTCTTCGATGATCTCGACGATCTTGTCGGCAGTAAGCTTTGTCAAGTCATGGGTAATGACTGCCCGTTCGGCTAGCAAGCTGATATTGAAGCGAACAAGACCCTCGACATCTCGAAACCCTTGTTCTACTGCCGACGTGCAAGCCCCGCACGTCATTCCGTCGATCGCAACGGTCGTTGTGGCAGTCGCGGACTTGGACTTGGCGCCCTCTCCGGCACTTTTCAGGTCGGGCTCTTTGGCGGTGCTCTCGACGAGTTCGGCATCAAATCCGCGGTCCTCTATTATTTCGCAAATGGCCTCGGCGGTAAGGAGAGCGGGGTCGTGTTCGACCACAGCTCTTTCTGACAGCAACGACACGCTGAAATGCTTCACGCCAGAAACATCCTTGAAGCCGCCTTCTATCGCCGAGGTACAGGCTCCGCAGGTCATGCCCGTGACCTTGACAGTCGTGATCATCATGGCGGGTCCATCGTCAGTCGGGAACGAGCCGAACGAGTTTCGGGGTATCACTGGCGACGGCAGGTCGGTGGCCAAAACTTCGGCGTCGAACCCTCGATCTTCGATAATCTCTCGTACTTGATCGGCGGATATCCGTTGGGGGTCGTGCATGACCACAGCCCTCTCCATGACTAGACTGACGGATACGCTCCCCACACCGTCGACACCTTTGAAGCCCGCTTCAACCGCCGAGGTGCATGCG